TATTTTCATGTAGGGAAAAAATGTCTTCTCCAGTCAGCATTTTATTTCAAATGATTTTTTTTTCATAAAAGAAATATAGTTTAATCGATTAAAATTGTCAGCAGAAATGACAGTATCTCCAACTCACGGGAAAGTATGAGTATGTTGAAGCGTGCGCTGCTCTCTCGCGCTCCCCGCCCTCAAGTCTCTGCACGCGGCGCTAATTGGCGCGCTCAGCTCGAGCCAGCAGCCACGAGCGCCACAGACGCGGATACCTCAGCCAAATTCACAGAGTTCAGTCACACTCAGAGAACAGTTCCTTAGTCTTTTTACTTGTTTTCGTTTTATGTGTCTCCCCTCATTAAGTTGAAGAGAGCTTAGTTTGGGAACAGTGGACACGTCTTGAAGACATTTCAAGCATGACTTTGGATAATAACGGATCTTGAAGTCTCAAACTGCACCTCAGACTCCCAGAAAATAACGACAGACACCAGCTCTCACAGGTACCCGTTTATTATTAACGTTTCAGTATTTTATTGCATTTCATTGGAGGATATTGAGCTGAAAAGTTTACAACTTTATTAAAATGTCCAACTTGAGTAGTTCAAACATATTTTCATGAAGTTTTAAGAGCATCACTGAGGATAAATGACAGTTTGTGTCTTTTAATTTTGACGGACTATAGTCGAAAGCGATAGTCATTCGATATTCATGTTAGGTAATATACTATTATATTGTTATCACATTCATATTAAAGATACAGCAGCACTACAGTGGCATGTCTGGTCTGGGTGATACAGTGTAAAATTAATTGCTGCTCTCATGAGGATAAATATTTGCAGTGCTGTTGTTTGAGGCTGTTAATCATGCGTGGCTCTCCCATTTTCTCCTCTCCACTCATTTTTAGGTGATAGGAAACATGTTTCATTTCAGAAGATTTAAATCGCAGCTGCGCTTTATTAAACATTGTCTTACTGGCAGTGGCAAGTAAAGCAAATGTTTGACTTTAACAAGTGCATGAAGCTATTGTATAACGGCATCTTTAGGAAAAACATCCATTCATCATGGATGCTTGCTATTGTATTTTATTACTTACATTATATTTAATTTACATAAACGTAATTATTTTATTTACATATTTTAATTTAATTAATTAATTGTAATATATTGCTTAATTTTATAATTAATTAACAATTAAATAAATTATATAGATAACCCCTTTTAATTACATTGTTATTTTATTTATTATAAACATATTTATTTTATTTACATATAGGCCTACAATAATAAATATATTTAAATGAATTAGTTTTCATCATTCATAATTAAAATATGAATAAAATAGCATTATATACAGTATATATTGCTAGGCCTATGTGTCGGATTAATGTTGGTGTATGGTTAAAAATTATACAAATTATTTGAGAAGCAATTTTCTCTCCTGTGTCCATTGTAGTTTTATTTAATAGGAAATTGCCTTAGGTTTTATTAGGCGCTGTGAATTGATTTGATTTTGCCATTTCTAGTCAGTGGCAGGTGGTATTAGAGGAATGGGACTTGTTAGGGGCGTATGATGTAATTTTAAGTTTCAGAAAAGTGCATACTGCTGCAGGCCCCAGGACAGAGTACTGCTTGACAGTCTGTGTGGCGTTACGTCACCAAAGTGTGAATTCGGAGGAGGACCACAAAGGCTTAGGGTGTCATTTGGCACAGTGGGTCATCAGTAAGTTTTGTTTATAAGTTTCTCTAAGTTTTAAGTGCATTCTGTATATCTGCTCATTTGTATCAACTTTCTATCTTATCGAAGGCCTCAAAATGTGGATTAAAGCCATTAAACTCCCATTTTGATTTCATGGGCGACTTTAAATTAACTTAATAAGGTTATAAAAGCTGATAAGGTTTATTTTCAAATGGCTGGCCAGATTTGCTGGTGAGGAATGTGTGATGGGAGTAAAAGCGTGTCTGTGGTGTCTGTCAAGGGAATGAAAGATGGGAGATTCTCAGTCTGCCTCTGGTCCTCCTCACACATCCACGCCAACAGCTGAGCCGGGATTGGCATTAACTCTCGACTCTGTGCTTCTTCAGAAGAGTAAGAGGACGAAAGCAAGCCAGAACGTAGTACTTGAGTAGATGAGAGGGGGCTCTTTCTCTTGCCCCGTGTTAACGGGCCGGATAATACCTCTCTGTGATGCACACAGCCTTTATGGAAACTCTCGCTCACACGCCCTGCAGTTTTATGGGGTGAGACCAAGAGAAAGTCTCAGTCATAAGCCACAGATGTCGTATACACACTTTACAGACTATATGCATGTGTGTGTTTCTTATTAAATATCGATTAAAATAAATATTAGCAGTTCATGTATCTATATTGAAAAATATATTAAATTTTTTAATGGTAAAACATGAGTGTAGCTGTTCTTATTTAATTTGCATGCATAGGCACACATGCCATAAAGTATAGTTATATCTATGTTCTCAATATAATGTTTTGCTTTGCTTAATTCAGAAAGCTGGACCTCTGACATATATTTGGAGAGGAAAACATGATACCACAGAGGGTGGGGAGCTGGATTTCCTCTGCTGAAAAAGTAGGGCAGTAAGTGGCAGAGTGATGGATTCTAGTTGCTGTGTGTGTGTGTGTGTGTGTGTGTGTGTGTGTGTGTGAGTCCGTGTCTAAGTGTGTTTACTGTACGTCCTTGGAGCATAGTGCCACCTGGGTGTTAAAAGGCTCTAGCACAGAAGTGCGACTGATTTCTTAGACTTATGTCTCTCTCTCGTACATTTTCTCTCTGTCAGACTCGCCTCACTGTCTCTCCTCACTACATCAGCAGTATATGAGCCAGTAAGACAAACCAACCTTGATTCTTTTAAATCCCAGGTTTCTTGACTCATTTAGAAGGCAGAAGACTGTGCCATAGTGCAGGAAAGAAAATAAACTTTTTTTTTTTTTAATTTTTATGAAGAAAAAGTGATGCTTGCTGTGCAAAAGTAGCCGTCAATGGTTGCTGCGGCATTGCTAGGTGGTTGCCAGGGTGTGGTTGGCCCATACCTATATTATTTAGGTTTTCTCTGTGTGTTGCTCTTCAGTGTAAATTTATTTTTTTAATCATCCACCATATGAAAATCATCTGATTGTTTAGAAAATGAATGGCACACCTCACAATTTGAAGTATCATTTAGTGAGCCACTTCAATAGTGGCCTGTTACACAAAGCTAGTTGAAGAAGCTCAGTTTCAGAGAAAGTTTAGTGTTCACTTGTTTGATGAAGAGTAAGCGATCATTATGTAAATATTATGAATTGCGACAAAATTAAAAGGCAAGAAAAACACAGCAACTGCCACAAAGTTTTGAGGCAGCAGCTGAAAAATATCTAATTATATTAATGCAAGTGAATAAACAGAACAAATTTAATTAATTTATATAGGTTTATAAAGAGCTAATAATAATAATAATATTTTCTAAAGTTTGTACTTATATGTATGTAATTTAATTTAAAAGTTAAATATTAATTGTCAAATTGTTATACGTAAAATAATCATAATTTATTACTTATTTGTAATAAATTAAGGATATTATTTATTTTATATAATTCATATAAAATAAATATAATAAATAATTAGCAGCAAAAGCCAGGCAATTTATTTAATTTTGGAGCAAGACATACAGGATGAGTGGCTTTATTGCATCAGATATATGATACTTTGCTCACAGCTGATTAGTCTAGTTTTGGTTTGCAATCTCTTGCCCAGAATAATATCTGCTCCGAAGCAGGTTAGCCATATAGCAGAAGTTACTTTGACGATGCACATAGCTAAAAACCAATCCATCTTCTTGCACACATAGTGCTCTCAAACTAATTTCAAACTTACCTGAGCAGAGCCACTAAAAAAGGCCTCATAAAATAGGTCATAGGTTTTGGAACAATTCTGTTATGTTTTGGACACACCACATCCCTAACTGGTATTACCCGAGTTCCTGTTTTTCACTGATACTGTTTTAAGTGTGTGAATGTTTGTATCTTCAAATGATTGACTGACATGTTGTGTTCAGCCTTGTCTCCCTCAAAGGGCTCCTGTCAGCGGCCTTACACACCTGAACACTCTTGATAAAAACACAGAACAATGTCAAACACCTCGTCCTTATCCTTCCTTCACACGGCCTAAACCTTACACCATCCGCCCCCTCTTCACCTATGTGTGGGTAACAGTACAGTTTTTAATCCGTTCACTCCAAACACAGCTAATCGACAGGAGACATTAGCCGAGCACTTTGTCTGCTCTCCATTACGGCTATGGAGGTTCCTCTCAGGATGTATTGAATTACCCATAATTCCCTAAACCTGTCACTCACAGACAGACAGACAGAGTGTCAGGTATTCCGGGCATATAATGAGGTTTGGGAATGTTGGCAGAGAGGAATTTCTTCACCGCTCTCTTTCTGCTCTCTGTCATTAGATATGCACCTGGCTCTTTCTGAGCTAAGTGCAGGTATGAAAGCTAAAACGTTTCCTCCTTTAAAGATGAGAAGGGGGATTAAAAACATATCATTAAACATGGACTTGGCTCAAACAAACAGGACTAAATACAGAGTTTCACCCTTTTAAAAGTCTGCAGAACAATTGAAAGCTTTTTTACTGTACTCTTTCCTTTGTCTAACAATGTGGCGATACTTGATATCTTTTTCAGTTACCATAACAGAGTGCAACAATCCATGAATGATGATGATAACCTTCATGAGCGGCTGTGGATATACAATATATAAAAAAACTGCCTTAAGTCAGACTTATAGACTGTAGGAAACAGTTGTTGAGGATTAGAAATTAAATTTGAGATTGCATCGTTATGACATCGTCAATATGTGTCTGCTTTTGTGCCGTGTGATTGGGCGTATAAGTTGAGGCCAAAGGACTGTCCAAACTGTCATATGAAAACTATTCAACGAGTTCAAGTAAAGGTCTGCTTTTCCTTTCTCTGCATAGCTGTCAGTCATTCAGTAATGTCCTGAGGCAAATATAATGTATTCACAACAAATGAGGGAAATAAGATTTTACAAATGTTTTCGTTATAGGTATGAGATGGGTTGTATACACATTACCGGGTCACAGAATCACGTATACACAGATTTTAGTGGAGTTATGACTGGAATAAATGGTGTTTTTTGTAAACGAACAACTTTTTATTTCATTCTGTGTGAGTAAATGCATGTCATTATGTTTATTTATTCACTAAAAATACTTAACATAGTTTTACTTTTAACTGATTTATCCCAAGCATTAATTTTCTTAGAAATTTTCACAGCAATTTTAATGTTTACGTTACAGACCACGCAGCACATTATCACAATGTAAATTTAAAGGTGCTCTGAGGAGTTTTCAGGTTTTACACATGAAAAAATGAACATCAATTTCATGAAATATCATTAAAATTATTCTCATGTGAGATACAGTATAGATGCCCAACTCGAGTCAGTTTTCTAGAATAAATGTCTTTGTGGGACGTATGCCATGTTGAGATCACATGGTCACATCTGTTACTACTAGTACTGTTTCTGATAATTTGCAAACTATTTGCACTTAACAGTAGTGTAAAGAAATGCTGTTTGTTGCTATTTATACTTGGTGCAAACAGTATCTACGACTTACACTCAGTGTAAACAGTCTGTGTCTTTTTTACACTTAGTATAAATAACCTTTGCGTTATTTTGAATAATTCAACTTCAGTCATTAGAGTACAATTAGAGTCATGTGAAATAATAAATGAATGCTGCCAAACTAATTTAGCTGCATTTCAGTTCAATCAGACCTTTTTTATCATCTCTGGCAGCAACAAAACCATATTTCCGTTACTTATAACAATATTTTTTTAGCTTTTGAATTGTTCTGTTTTAATGAACAAAACAGTAGCTGTACAGCTTGCAGCCGTGGGAGCTGAAATTCTAAGATCCATGGGAGGTAAATGTAATATAATGTAACTGGGCTATATAAAATATTGAAGCCAGAAAAATATGGGGTCAAATGATAGGATATTATTATATTCTCTAAAAACCAGTGTTAGTCCAACCACCACCTTGAACATGATACGAATTATTTGTAATGCTACGAAGACACATTTTCGTTATGATTATGAAAACATAGCATGGCCTTGGTGTCTGCATATGCTTATGTTGATATGAACATTATTTACACAGAGCGAGGGGTAACCCTTACATTGACCCCTGCCAAGAATAACACAAATATGTAACCCGAGCTTATAATAATGAACTTGGACTGACCTTTTGTAAAGCTGAACAGTAAAATCATTTAGTGGACTATGTCTGTGGTAGGTGTAGGAATCCGTCCAGGAGATGTATGCAAGAGACAATAGCTGTGATGTCAAAGAAGAGGGAAAAATGTGTCTTTGTGGAGGAGGAAGAAAACATTTAAAAACTTTGGAAAGAAGTTCAATTGTTTGATATATGATCTTACAAGACTCAGGCATTACCCAAGAGCCCCCATGCTGATATCTTTGTGACACTTGCTCTCTGAGATCGCTCCCTCAGCCCCTTTAAATCTGCTCCACATGTCATGAATGCAGTATGATCCATCATAATCAAAGCTATCTGTGATGCCGCCTTGTTCTTTAACTAAACAGACAAATCTGACTTATCTTTATGTTAGAGTTAGAGATATGTCTGTCTGCTGTTGATAAATGTGCAGTATTAGAGGAACATTCCTTAGTGACAATGTATATCTTTATCAGATGTCTAAAAACTAGATGTGTTTGGGTTGCATTAGGTCTTTGAAATATATGAACACTATTTGCATTAAATTCAAATAAGGGGATTGATGTTCAAAAAAATAAAGATGCTGCAATCTAAAACAAATTCTTGGTTAGAAACAACCCAGTTTGTGTCATTTTTGCTGGGTCAAAAAGGGATGAACCTGGTGCTGGGTTGTTTTGTCCCAACATTCTGGGTTGTTGTTTTAACTCAACTATTGTTTAAAAATGACTATACTGCCTGGTTAAAAATAACCCAAAATGGGTTGGAATACTTGGAAATAAAAGTCACATAACACATGCAGAATAATTACAGTAACAACACAGGAAACTGGAAAAAAATACAAGCAATCGTATAATGTGTGTGAGTGAGAAAAAGTGAAGAAATGAATGACAAATCAAGTTACAACTTATACAGTTAATTGAAGTTGCTTTATTTTAAACTTTCAGTGAACATTGCTGAATAAATATTGAAAACCTTGGGTTTAAGTCTAAATTTAACCAGTTAGTTGGCTCATTTTGTTCTTTTTCACCAACCACAATAGTCTTTCTGTGGCCAAAACATTAAGCTTTGAGTGCCATCAAGAAACACACAGAAAGCCTGTAATAAATGCTAGAACCATTTCCAACCTTGCATAATTTGGTTTCTGCTAGGGATGTTAATTTTAACTGTTTCACCGGTTAACCGACCGTAATAATTTTGACAGATTAATACAATCAGTTAAACGGTTTAAAAAGTAATTTAATTATAAATTTTTTCAGTAATTTATCAAAATATTTAAAAAGGTTTGCTGCATGGTTAAAATACCCTACGTGTATAAAAAAAAATTTTTTTGTAGGGGGGAAAAAACATAAGTCGCGTATAACTTAAGTCACATTTTTTTATTTCATTCAGAAATAGGCCTAATGCCGACGCGAAATGTTTACAAACATTATAATAAACACTGTAAACATAGCTAGGCTATTTTAGTTTCCTCACTCCACAACAAATCCTTTCAATTAACAGTATTTAGAAAAGAACAAGAATTACAAATATAAGAAGCTATAGCAATATAAACGACAAGCCAAAACGAATTCATTTAGGCTAAAACAAAACTGAAACCAACGTTGGGTCTCTCATTCCACACAAAATCAAATGTTTCAGTATTCACAATGTATTTGAATGCCAAATTATTATTTATTATGTAGGCCTACTTCACTCGCGTTCCAATATCCACGTAAAACAAAATGTTTTGCATAACATCACGGCGGTACTGTGATAACACTTAACGGCACAGATTTTACTACATATTTTTTACTACATATTTTTTTTTACTACATGGTTTTTTTCCCCATATGTTTGACTGACTGTATTTTATTATGATAATGAACAGGCTGCATTGTCAAGGTAGCAATGCTTAAAGGCACAAAATGTAATTTTTGCCGCTAGAGGGCGCATATTCAAAATAAACAAATAGATAAAGGCGTAGTTTGATGACGCCGTGACTTAGTGTGGAATCATGGGAGTTGTTGTCTTCTTCCCCACAGCCGATGCAAGCCGTCAAAGCGAAACAAGGCCGCTGAACGAGCGCGACACACGGCTCGAAAGCAGCGGAGCTTTTATTATGCCACAGTCGACCGCTTCCGCTCCTTCCGGTCGTGCGTATTTGGGGAAAAAAAGCAGCACTGTTTTATCATACTAGATACATTTGAAAGTTCTTGCAGCGCTGGCGCAATCACTTGAATTTTTTCCTTCTAACAGTGGAAGCAACTACTCCTTTTAGTCCTAAAGATAATCGGAATTGTAAAAGGTTTGCCTTTATTTGTGTACATTCACAATAAAAAACAAATCTTTGTGCTTTTGCAAAATAAGCCTAAAGAAAAATAGGATGCCGCTTTCTGCCGTCTGTTTCCTTTTGCGCAGCACAAAAATGAACCGAAACGCATACTAGGCTACTTGTTGCACAGTTTTTCTTTCATTTTCTTAATTTATTATCTAAATAAAAATATGTTTCTCGTATAGGCCTATTTATTCGTTATATAGCCTAGCTTTATTATGTTTTTCTCTGTTCGCAGAAGCACTGCAGGTGCCTGATGTGATATGAAGACCATGTGAATCCTCATGTTCTGTTGTTTGCTGCTTTTTGCGCATGTAAAATTAATCCTCGGGAAACAAATGTTAGTATTTTTTAACGGGTCACAGACACTTATCCTTTCTAATTTAATTAAATTCTAATTGTTAACGGTTAACAATCGGTTAACGAGCATCGGTTGTCGGTTAGGAAAAATAACCGAAATGAACATCCCTAGTTTCTGCTTATAAATGATTATCAACCCAAACTGGGTCTAATTAAATAACCCAGTGTTTTTTAGAGTGTATAACCATTTATTGTACAGAACTGTCATAGTCCTCATAATATATAGCTGTAAAGCATAATAATGGCAACATTACTCAGTAGGTGATTGGAAGTCTGACAGTAATTCTCTTGAAATTTATTGTCAAAGATGGTGAATTTGTTCCAAAATTTGTTGCTTTGGAAAAAGCAGTGCTTTAAAAGATGAATTTGAGAAGAAACTTCTCAGGGAGGATTTTACTGTCAGCATGCCAAAGCACAGCACGCTCAAACCCTCGCTGAGAAGTCTCCTAATTCATTTCCTTTAAAGCAACACTGCTAATAATCTACGTAAATTCACTAGCTGGTTGTTGGAAAACATAGTATAAGTCCCTCCATGCCCCCTTTTCATTCACTCTTTCACTCGTTCCTTCATTCAAAAGAATAGGACTTTTGAGAGCCCCTGATCTGAAGTGTGTGAATCCTTGTTCTAAATGATTCCCTGCTGAAGGAAATCTCCTAATGAAGACAGACGACTACAGTTTTCTCACTCTCTCCCACAATTTCATGGCACTCTGTTGACTAATGAAGCAAAGATTCAGACATGATTGTCGCCCCAGCCGAATACTGTTTGTTGAAGAAGTGAGAAAGGGAGACGGAGACAGAGCAGATGAAAGATGGTGTGAGAAAATATAAGAAAGGCATTTGAAAGAAGGCTGAAAGTGGCTGCCCTCATCAAGCTGACCTTTTGTTTAGAGACAAACAGATTTAGAAACGGGGAGAAAGTATGTGTGTTGGTGGACAAAAGAAAGGACTTGAATAGAGCAGCAGCTGATGCAGAGCTGCTAAAATGCATAGACATGCCTGAAAGAGACCACAGTAAAGCAGCTGAACTTTTGCTTGGGATTTAACAAGACCTCACACACACTCACACACCTCCCACGGAGATGCTCAGCCACTCCCTTAGATGACCCCATCTAACTGTCCACTCCATCACAGGTCCGCAGCAGCAGAACTCTCCTCTCTCATCATGAAGACTGCCGAGGAACCAGACAAACAAAGACAGAAGAGCAGACATCAACATCTCCAGATGGGGTGGTTCTCCAGTGTCTGGTGGTCTACATTGGTGATGCTCTTCTTCTCTCTGCCGGAGGTGAACTCTATGAAGGAGAGTGTGCCAAGAGTTAAACTTGGCTACAAAGGTAAAATTTGTCCTTATGTGACTTTTAAACTTTATTTAACATTCTGTTTATTCCAAAAAGCGTTTACATTGCTCTATGTAGATGATTTCTTTCTAAAATGATCTATTAAATCTTTAGTGTTTTGCTGAATTTCCATGTATTTATTTTAAACATCTGCTGGATCATTTGTCATTTTTAAAGGATACATTTTGAAGTACATGGAGTGTGATGAGAGGTTTACAACTCACTTGTATGAGGTCAATATTTAGACTGCGCATGTGACTGATTGAGTGTACATAAGGTGTCACGGATCCGGGTGTGTGGAGGCAGGCAGGACGACGAGGACGACAAGGATTCCAATAATGACATTTATTGTAGACACAACAAGGCAGGTTCAGGTAGGTGAGACACACACTCGGGGTAACATTAACAATAACCGACACCAATGCTCAGACAGACAGGAACTAATATGGGGTGAATAATTAGACGTAGAAGGGGAGATCCCGGCGGGATATGGTGAGGAAAGGAGCAGCGATCTCTATGTTGTTGTTTTATGGTCGGTTATTCTGTCACGGATCCGGGTGTGTGGAGGCAGGCAGGACGACGAGGACGACAAGGATTCCAATAATGACATTTATTGTAGACACAACAAGGCAGGTTCAGGTAGGTGAGACACACACTCGGGGTAACATTAACAATAACCGACACCAATGCTCTGACAGACAGGAACTAATATGGGGTGAATAATTAGAGGCAGACAGGTGAGCACAATGACGGTGATTAACTAATGATTAGACAGGCTAAACCAACACAAAGGGAAGAAACCACAACAAACAGTCCACAGGGGCGTTACATAAGGGATGTGCTGCATATCACAGTAGCTGTATGCACATTTTGTATATTGTATTTATTGGAACATACACACTTCGCTATCTAAATTATATATTCTGTAGACATATATTGTTTTTATATGAAGCTAATTTTAATCGCTATAGACCAAATAATTTCTCAAAGAAAAAACATTATCTTTAGAAAAATATTATCTTTGCTTTATTTATTTATTTGGTCCTTACACTGTAGATATTCCTTCAATACACATATACATTGTCTTATTTCATTTTATGAATTTCAGATGCTAACTAATGGTGCTCAGACAAACCATTTAGCAACGACCTAGCAGCCACTCAAAACACCACAGGAAACATTTTGCAATGCCTTGGCAACAACATACAACCACTAGGAAAAATTTGAGAGCGTAATCTTTGCCAGTTTAAATGCTGAAGTTATTTTAAACCATTCAAGTGCAATAAGTTGTAAAAGAGAACTCGATATGGCTTTTTGCACCTTATTGCACTTAATTGATCAAATAAACACAAAAATATGTCAAAATGACTGTGGTGATTATTCATGTAAACACAGTAGGTTATGTCTAAGTGAATGTAAACAGTTGGATATGTTTCATAAAATAAGGTCTGCACATTAGCTTTTAAAGTGACAGCATCCTAATATTCCTGCTGCTATTGGTGTCATTAATGTTAATCAAACAACAAAAGATGGTAACACTTTATTTTACGGTGTCCTTGTTACACGTTACATGTAATTACTATTATAATAACAATAAATTATTCATAATTACATGCAAGTAACCCTAAGCCAAACCCTAATCCTAACCCTAACCATATAGTTAGTACATGTAGTTAATTAATATTACTCATTCCTTAAATGTATAATTACACTGTAACAAGGACACCTTAAAATAAAGTGTAGCCTAAAAGACAAAGAGAAGTTTACTCACTTCTCTTGACTGGATAACTTTAGTAGCTTTAATAAGAATCAGTGTATATTTAAATCATATAGTGAAGACTATGCACTTTTATTTTACATAAATTCAACTTCTGTAGCATTTCTTCTGACCAATAAAAAAATGTCAAGTACTGTATTTCATTTGTCTTTGTTCTATTATATTTATTTGTTCTATTGCACAAAATTATTTTCTTTTTCTTATTTTATTACTTCCTGTTTAATTGTCTTTAATAAGAACTTTTTGGGAACTTTTTGCTTATGTCAGTTAGACTACTATACGTTTTTGCTGTGATATTAAAATTGGTGTCAAGAATTGTAACATTTCAATGGTATCTTACATTTTTATAACATAAATTTATTTCAAGATAAAGTAACTTTAAAATTACTCATATCATAATATAATCACCAACCCCTACCTCTCACATGTAAAAATCTAGTTGTATGCATTGCATGTACACCTGCATTTGTTTGTTTATGAGCATAGTGCAGTATATTTTGCTGCATCAGACGTTCTGTTAATGAGAGGTTAAATAAGGACTTGACGACTAAGGTCTGGGATTTTACCCAGTACCTCACTGTAACTGTCTGCATCTCTTGTGGTATTTGCTAACCACTGTTTCATGCTGTGAGTGCGCTCCCTCCCTCTACCTGTGGTTGTGTTTGATCGCTCGACTGCAGCTGCGGCTTCAAAGGTTTGATAAGTCAATAAGGCGTTAACTCTCTGATCTCAACAGCGATCCCACGAGCACAGCACATTTTAGCTTATCACTGGAGTTACGCTGACAACACCATAGCAGTGCCACACTCTCAAACACACACACATACATACATACTTATGCTGTGTGTATTATGGGTGGGATTTCTGGGCAAGATAAACGCATGATGCTATAAAGTGAGTGAGGCGTAAAAGAAACAACATGTCCTTACTCATTTAAGTGCATTGACACATGGATTGTTAAAAGTCATGCATGCTTTGTCCACAGTTGTAGACGCATGATAAATCTGCACTGGGCTTTACAACATCAGTAGCAGCTTTGATTAGATACCATGTTGTTCTAGAACGTGTTTTTGATAGTGCTGACAAGTGATAAAAGAATCCTTTAGACATTAATGTTTTTTCTAACCAACAAGAAGAGATAAAAGTTATTTTCTGTGCTTGTTTCTTTTCTTTCTCTCTTTTTCATTCTCTTCTGTGTTCAGTCCCTGCTTCGATTTGAGGAGTTACTTGAATGCAGTGTTTGTTTTATGTCACTGAGGGAAATAAAAGTTATAGCTCCTTAAAGACTGACCCACAGCATGCCAGCAGTACTGAAACAGACCTTCATCCGTATTAGGAAACTCACGCCAATAAAAATATGAGTGACTGTGCAGGGGCTGTCTGTTTATTTTCAGTTTCTTTAGCATAAAAATCCTTCATGCTGTGCGTCAGTTTGCCATAGCTGAGCTGGCGAGAATGACGTGAATGAGAGGAGAGAACAGACAGCTGTCTGACTTGTGCTAGAAATTATGATTTGTGCATGCAATGACGGAGCTCTTGAAGAGAGATTTTCTTGAAGTGTCTACATTTGAAATTTGAATTTTGAACTGTATTTTTTTTATAGACAGATAATAAATCTTTATTTTTATATATTTTATATATATATTAAAGTGCAAATAAACATTAATGTTACACTGCAAAAAAAAAAAAAATTGTAATCCATATTTTGTCTAACCCTTTCTTTCTTTCTTTCTTTCTTTCTTTCTTTCTTTCTTTCTGCGTGATAAAATAATTGTCGCCGTTAATCAATTCATGTGTTAAAATCAATTCAAAATCAATTCATGTGTTAACGCGATAATAATGCGTTAACTTGCCCAGCCCTAATATGTATATGTATATGTATATGTATATATACACACACTGTCTATATATAACGGATATATAACGGATAGGAAAACAAGACAAAAATACAGAGCCTTTAATATCCTGTCTTTAATATCCTATACATTTATGTATAATATATTGTTTCCTGCTGGGCTTTTTTACAAGCTACCCTGAGCGGGTCAGTTTGATTATAAAACTTGCTGTTCCGCTCCATGTTTGGTCCTGTTGGAGAGGGTGCAGAAGTACAGTCTTTCACAATCCATCATCTGAGCAGATGCTCTCACAAAAATATCGGCACCATTTCTGTATCACTGCACTCCTTTAAAACAGAGTGTGTCATTATCCAGAAGTATGCAGGGCTGCGTGCACACCTCAAGGCCACAGTAAGTTCCTCTTGTTTTTCTCTTAAAGGAAGGCTAAAAGGGGAACATCTGATCTGCGTTAGATATAGTACATCTCATAATGTTCTGGAGTCAAATAAACAATATTCTTTCTGTTGCTAACATCACTCCTAGCTGACAATGTCCAGTGAAACGCATCAAAATATTATCTTCAGGTTGTGTAAATATTTCTATTAAAGACAGTCTCCCTCGCACAGGGGTCTTGAGTGAGGGTAATAGATTGTTTTATGAGTGGTATATTTCCGTGTGTTTGACAAAGTGTACATGCATGAGGGTATAGACATGCATGACAGAGTCATGAACGTGAAACATGCAAACACAAAGCCTTGTTTTGCAATAGGAAAACAGCAATTTAAGAACTCACAGTATAGTTTACAATGAATTTATAACTATATGGCTCCCAGTTGGCTGTGGCTCTCTAAACAGATGTAAAACAAGCAGGTCATACATATGGTCATGCGTCTTCCTAATGTACTGAACACAGAGTTACACTATTTTCCACTAGTTTGGCTCTCTTCCCAAACCACAGGCAGGATATTGATTACACCTAAGAGTGTAATCCTTTACCGTCTCAGAAATCTTAAAGGAAGTCGTGCTCTGTGACATTAGTGCTCTGTTTTTGGCGAATAGCTGGGGGGTACCTTAATTTGTCATACTCTTAAATTGTGCATTACTTCATAGGTTTGTATTCCACTCATCAACCTTTATGCTTTGCCATTGCCTGAAGATAAATGATCTACCTGTAGGGCTGAAATAGCTCACAATGTAAAGATTGAACTGAATGGATAATACTTTCTTTATGTTTCCACAGGGAGTCTGCATTTCTTATAAGAATAATTGTTAAGCCACTACGATCAGCAAACCGCAGAAGTGTAGCATTACACTACAAGCTTATAAAATTGGACTTATGGAAGTTCTTGTTAGAGTCCGTTCGCTCTTTGGCCATTTTGGCAATGGCCCATCTAGAGATGGAAGTATAGCTTCTTTGTACTTGAATGGGATTAGTCTGAAATTTCCAAAACTGTTTGCCAAGCTGGTGTTTCAAAATATTTCAAATCACAAAGAGTAACAAGGGTATGTAAATTTTGTATCTTCTGCTAAAATAAACTATTTATTTATTTGTATTTATTTGTATTTTTTATTTTAGCTAACATGCTTGCATGTTCCAGGGCAAATTAAATCTGCATGACATTCTTTGTTCTGTGGAACACAAAAGGAGTTATGTATACCGGAATGTCTAAGATTCCCTTGTTCATACAATGAAAGTGAATGGCGACCACAGCTGTAAGACAAATATTTGGTGAATAATGACTTAAATATGCACATTTGAGTTGTCTGGACTACTTTTACTACTTTTTTTATTTTATTTTGTTTGCCTTCGCTTTTTTGGATCTTTACAAACCTTGGTTCCCATCCCCTTTTGTTGAATGGAAACAAGCAGCTCAAACATTCTGCTTAATGTCTCCTTTCATATAGAAGAAAAAATCATATACTGTAGGTTTGAACTTTATCCCTTTAAAGGCAAAAGATCCATTTTCTCATTATATTGTCTCTGATATTACTTAGGAAAGAACATTTAATCTTTGTAATTGATTTGTCAAATGCACATTTTAAATATCCTCAAAAAACATTGTCTAGCTGTAATTTACAGACTACTGCTCTTAGGGGATTTGAGAGTTGATTCCCTGAGGGGTCCAGATAAAGCTTCAGAACTCGAGATACATCTCTGTAGACTTCATTGCTAAGCCGGGATCTTTCAGCAGGTCTCTGACCTTAAACTGTTTGGAGAATAGATTAGCGTCAGCTAGTCAGGCATTAGCATGAATGGGGTTTTATTTTGGAGAGGATTTTTTGCCTTATAAATATTGATCAGAAATGACCCATCCTCGACCCTGCACCCCAGAGAATAAATAGTTAAGTCCTAGGTTATAGTTAAGTCTTATTCAGCTTTTTGACGCTCTAGACTCATAACCCTGACACCCCATGACCCACCCCTCACATGGCTGTTTAAACGATATATGTACATGGCAGACATTCTTTCTTTCTTTCTTTCTTTCTTTCTTTCTGCGTGATAAAATAATTGTCGCCGTTAATCAATTCATGTGTTAAAATCAATTCAAAATCAATTCATGTGTTAACGCGATAATAATGCGTTAACTTGCCCAGCCCTAATATGTATATGTATATGTATATGTATATATACACACACTGTCTATATATAACGGATATATAACGGATAGGAAAACAAGACAAAAATACAGAGCCTTTAATATCCTGTCTTTAATATCCTATACATTTATGTATAATATATTGTTTCCTGCTGGGCTTTTTTACAAGCTACCCTGAGCGGGTCAGTTTGATTATAAAACTTGCTGTTCCGCTCCATGTTTGGTCCTGTTGGAGAGGGTGCAGAAGTACAGTCTTTCACAATCCATCATCTGAGCAGATGCTCTCACAAAAATATCGGCACCATTTCTGTATCACTGCACTCCTTTAAAACAGAGTGTGTCATTATCCAGAAGTATGCAGGGCTGCGTGCACACCTCAAGGCCACAGTAAGTTCCTCTTGTTTTTCTCTTAAAGGAAGGCTAAAAGGGGAACATCTGATCTGCGTTAGATATAGTACATCTCATAATGTTCTGGAGTCAAATAAACAATATTCTTTCTGTTGCTAACATCACTCCTAGCTGACAATGTCCAGTGAAACGCATCAAAATATTATCTTCAGGTTGTGTAAATATTTCTATTAAAGACAGTCTCCCTCGCACAGGGGTCTTGAGTGAGGGTAATAGATTGTTTTATGAGTGGTATATTTCCGTGTGTTTGACAAAGTGTACATGCATGAGGGTATAGACATGCATGACAGAGTCATGAACGTGAAACATGCAAACACAAAGCCTTGTTTTGCAATAGGAAAACAGCAATTTAAGAACTCACAGTATAGTTTACAATGAATTTATAACTATATGGCTCCCAGTTGGCTGTGGCTCTCTAAACAGATGTAAAACAAGCAGGTCATACATATGGTCATGCGTCTTCCTAATGTACTGAACACAGAGTTACACTATTTTCCACTAGTTTGGCTCTCTTCCCAAACCACAGGCAGGATATTGATTACACCTAAGAGTGTAATCCTTTACCGTCTCAGAAATCTTAAAGGAAGTCGTGCTCTGTGACATTAGTGCTCTGTTTTTGGCGAATAGCTGGGGGGTACCTTAATTTGTCATACTCTTAAATTGTGCATTACTTCATAGGTTTGTATTCCACTCATCAACCTTTATGCTTTGCCATTGCCTGAAGATAAATGATCTACCTGTAGGGCTGAAATAGCTCACAATGTAAAGATTGAACTGAATGGATAATACTTTCTTTATGTTTCCACAGGGAGTCTGCATTTCTTATAAGAATAATTGTTAAGCCACTACGATCAGCAAACCGCAGAAGTGTAGCATTACACTACAAGCTTATAAAATTGGACTTATGGAAGTTCTTGTTAGAGTCCGTTCGCTCTTTGGCCATTTTGGCAATGGCCCATCTAGAGATGGAAGTATAGCTTCTTTGTACTTGAATGGGATTAGTCTGAAATTTCCAAAACTGTTTGCCAAGCTGGTGTTTCAAAATATTTCAAATCACAAAGAGTAACAAGGGTATGTAAATTTTGTATCTTCTGCTAAAATAAACTATTTATTTATTTGTATTTATTTGTATTTTTTATTTTAGCTAACATGCTTGCATGTTCCAGGGCAAATTAAATCTGCATGACATTCTTTGTTCTGTGGAACACAAAAGGAGTTATGTATACCGGAATGTCTAAGATTCCCTTGTTCATACAATGAAAGTGAATGGCGACCACAGCTGTAAGACAAATATTTGGTGAATAATGACTTAAATATGCACATTTGAGTTGTCTGGACTACTTTTACTACTTTTTTTATTTTATTTTGTTTGCCTTCGCTTTTTTGGATCTTTACAAACCTTGGTTCCCATCCCCTTTTGTTGAATGGAAACAAGCAGCTCAAACATTCTGCTTAATGTCTCCTTTCATATAGAAGAAAAAATCATATACTGTAGGTTTGAACTTTATCCCTTTAAAGGCAAAAGATCCATTTTCTCATTATATTGTCTCTGATATTACTTAGGAAAGAACATTTAATCTTTGTAATTGATTTGTCAAATGCACATTTTAAATATCCTCAAAAAACATTGTCTAGCTGTAATTTACAGACTACTGCTCTTAGGGGATTTGAGAGTTGATTCCCTGAGGGGTCCAGATAAAGCTTCAGAACTCGAGATACATCTCTGTAGACTTCATTGCTAAGCCGGGATCTTTCAGCAGGTCTCTGACCTTAAACTGTTTGGAGAATAGATTAGCGTCAGCTAGTCAGGCATTAGCATGAATGGGGTTTTATTTTGGAGAGGATTTTTTGCCTTATAAATATTGATCAGAAATGACCCATCCTCGACCCTGCACCCCAGAGAATAAATAGTTAAGTCCTAGGTTATAGTTAAGTCTTATTCAGCTTTTTGACGCTCTAGACTCATAACCCTGACACCCCATGACCCACCCCTCACATGGCTGTTTAAACGATATATGTACATGGCAGACATGCAGGGAGGTCGCTGAAAACTGAGAGATGGAAAGAATGAATGTGAAATGGTGTGTATATGTGAAATTCAGGATTCAAAACAGAATAAAAAGAGGATCAGAAAACATAAACAAATCTACAGACCTGCTTTCCATGGTGTTTAAGTGCACACTGCCAGATTTTCTTGCTTTGAGGCTACTGGCAGATGGTTATGTTTGTGTGCAAGGAGAGCAGAACATAGGGTGGAGAAATGTTAGGACTCTGTCCAAGTCTACTAAGACTGCATGCTTTAGTCAAATGCCATTACGTGTTTCAAAAATATCCTAAGAATTATGTATCTAGAGAGTTCAGCTTGTACGTACCAAAGAGAGTATGAACAAGGCTTAACAACGTCACCTTTACAGATTTTCCATCTCTCTTATGTTGGTGTTGATACCCTGGAACTTTTAAGCTTATTTGTGCTATCATGACAACTTTTGGCTTACGCTCATTGTGTGCAAACGCCAATCTGAACTCAGCTGTCTAAGCTGTTAACCGGTACTCTTCAGCAAGAATAACATAATGTGGCATTGCTCCCTCAGAGAGCAGAAGAAGTGAAATATGAAACCTACAGCAAATGAACCATCGCGCTAATCTGCCGCTGTGTTGATGTGTGAGAATTGATAGATGGAGCGATTAGATCCAGCTGGATTCTCAAACAGCTCAGATGCTTTTGGTTCATGTTCGGCAGGTGAAGTAAGGGCTGGAGGAGGGAGGTTTAGTAGATGGGCTGATGTTAAAGAGAGGATGAAATCTTATCAGGATGGAATCTGAACACATATATGACAGATAGCCCCGAGGTTATGGTTACTGTAGATAATACGGAATATAGAAGTAATGATGCCTCTCATTATATTAAAAGTGTGAAAGATTCGGAAGAGAGGGCAATAGCGGTAATATGATAACATTTTCGATTTATTTCTACAATGCAATGCTTAGACAAATGCACACTTGTGCACATACTCCTTCACACATAAAGCTCTTGCACAAGTCTCTATTCTGATACACAGGTTACTTAGTATGTTTGTGCATATAGTGCATACTATGTGTTTATATGTGTGTATTCACCCTCATTTGACTTCTTCAGAGCTGATCCATTCTCGAAGCGTGGTGCCGTTTGTGGGTTCCAGCGAGGGGCAGCGGTTTCAGACAGTCCTATTGGATGAAGAGAGAAGCCGACTACTGCTGGGAGTCAAAGACCACATCTACCTACTGGACCCAGACGACATAAATAAACACCCCAAAAAGGTAAATACACACACCTTAAAAGGCTCACACCTGCAGACATGCAGAATCAGGTCTCCATGAAAAGGAACGTAAAGACTTTACACTATGTGTGTATGTAAATAATTTAGAAGAACATTCACTCACTCTCAGACTGGTTGACAGATTTCATTCATTTGGAAAAAAAAAAAAAACAGTTTTCAACAGATGTGGGAATTATAATAGATATTGTTTCTTGATTGACCATATTGTTTCGCCAAACGGTTTAGAACTGTGTTTTTTATTTATTTATTTTTAATCAGGTTTCTCTTCTTGTTCTTGTAATTCTATTAAACCCTCTTTTCTCATTTAGTCAATAGAACTATATCAAATACAAGTTTTGAGTGAAACATTGTGTGTAAACTAGATCCTAAAAATGGTGCTTGCCAGTGCAAACGTTGCCGCTATGATCAGTGCAGTGCTATTTATTGCCAGAGTTTTGTTCGTAGGTGGTCGCTTTTCTGGTCCAAGAGCCTATCCCCAAGTCAGATTAATTTGATAAATTTTATGTTTTTATGTATTTGTCTGTCTTTTGTCAAACAGGTGCATGTTTTATTGTGAGAACAAAATAATTTCTCATTTTTTTGTTATAAAACTGTTGACTTTGTTATAGAACTGTCGACTGGTAATACTCCTGTACTTGGACAACATAATCTGGTTTAAACTAAGTACAAATCAAAACTGTTTATACCTTTCTAATCTCACAAAAATGCCTGATAGCATGGTGTGAGAGTCTCTGGATATGTTTAGCTTATGAATACATTCATGGTAGTAGTGTGTTTATGTGTCTCTGTGTGTCTCTGCCTCAGAAGATCCTTTAGTTCACTTTGTACTTTCACTTTGAAAAGTTCTCATAGTTATTTCACTGTCACATCTAGATATTCCCACAGCATCACCCCACAGAGCTCCTGAGCTGACCTTACCAAAACATTTTTTGTCTTTTTCACATAAGTAGGCACCCATGGCAAAAATATGTATTTTTAGATGCATTTCAAAATATACCAAAAATGGCTTAAAATGTAATTCTAATATAGGTTTTGAAATATATTTACACAAATAAATTTTTCATAAGTTTTAGTTACTTTTTCTCAGATATTTTTTGGATATTTTTATTATATATTTTAAATATAAATATTTAAATTATCCAACATATATTTTATAAAATAAATGTTTCATTACCCAAAATGTTTTTTTTTGTCAGTGTTTTGTCAATGACCCTTAGAGTGCATTGTGTCATGTATATATCATTTATTAAGTGTATATTTGAAGTAAAGGTTTGGGCAATATATATAATTGAATAATATTTTATTATCTTAAAAGTATGCAGAGGTGGAGGCAGAGCTCCAACTGCAAAAAATAGGTCTTTCTGATGTGCTGACCTTTGCATGCGAGTGTGTGTGTGTGTGTTTATGTCATGTGTTTGTCTGTTCATGCACTTGTTCTCATTTGTATAGTGGAGTATCCGTATTGAGCCCATTTTCAGTTTGAGGTAGGCACACCAATCTTCAAAGCACCATCATGTAAAGTCGTCTCACGAGCATGTGTAATCATGGATTGCTTATTACATGTAGAGACGGCTCTGGTAGGTCAAGGTCAAAGGTCAGGCATGTGTGTGCTAAGCGCTTAAGCTTTTTATAACATGTATGCAGAGACAGGGCCAGCAGCCCCTTCATCACTCTTTATCTGTTCGTCATCCTCCCTCTCGTGAGCTTAACCCAGAACTCATGTTTGTACAGTATTATTTGTGTACAGCTTTTCATCTGTTAAATACACAATGGATTAAACTCTGTTTAAAATCCTACTTTGAGTCCCAGCTTAATCTCAGTCTAAATCAAAGTTTTTGTACAGTTTACACTTCATGGTTGAATTACCTTTCTGAAACAATTCCATGAGAGACAATTGTAAACAATTATGCTGACTGTATAAATTACAAGGTAAGTGTTGCTTGTATTTTTTACCTGAATTGACTTGCTTTTTGTGTGTATGTTTCTCACTTCCAGCTGAGCTGGCCAGCTCCAAGAGACAGGGTGGATATGTGTATACTGGCTGGCAAAAACCCTCTTGTAAGTATCAGTCAGCATATATGTCTGTTGAATGAACATTTCAATACACAGCCTGTCCTCTCTAACTCAAACCTGTCTTGTAAAAGAGAACTGTAAACTATTTGCTTCAGACCTCCACTGCATTTCATTGCATGTATCATGATTTCCACAGAAATAAAGCTGCACAACTGTTTTCAACATTGATAATAAGAAATGTTTTCTTACCAACCTTTAAACAATAGTGTATGTTATATCACTTCATCCCAAAGTGATTTTTAGTGAATGTATTAAGTCAGTCCCCTCAACCAAGGTATTTATAAACAGAATATTGATTATTTTGTCATCTGAAATCTTGCAAGACAAACACAAAAACTTCTTTTTGTGAAACACTTATGAAGTATGATGATGATATATTTCATGATAAAGACCACTTTGTTAGATATTTTGCTATCTAATGCAATGACATAGATACACTAAATGTGTTATAAATATCCAAATAGCTTTTAAGACCACTTCACATGCTCACATTCTCTCTCTTTCTCTCTCTACCTCAGACCGAATGTGCTAATTTCATTCGAGTTTTACACAGCTACAACCGGAGTCATGTCTATGCCTGTGGTACTGGAGCATTCCACCCCACCTGTGCTTTCTTAGAGGTCAAAGGTCACAAAGAGGCAAGGAATTAAATTATTGACTGTTTCCACACA